CTGCCTGGGGAGTCGTGTGAGTGTGGGCGTGTCGTGCGGGTCGTCGCTGAGCGTGGTCTTCAGGTTTGTGTAGGAGCACAGAGCAGCGCTCCCCTCAGGAGGACTGGCCAACCCCTCCCTGGCTGCGCCGTGTGCTGGTCCCTCTGCCCCGGGCTCCGGGGCTGCTCTGCATCTGGCTGTGTTGGATGGCGCTGACGTGGACACAGGTATCTGTTGGAGCACTTTTAGTCCTTGTGGGTGTTCCCCGTTCTTCTGGGTCTATGCCCAGAACTGCTGGGTCATGTAGTTCTCTTTTCAATGAGACGGTTTTGGTGCTATAGCTTGTGTGTGCACGAGAGTGTGAGTGCATGTGCCAGAGTGTGACAGCCCCCCTGCCCTGTGGTCCTAGACACGCGTATGCACGGCCAGCCTGTATTTCAGCTGAAGGGGCCAGGACCCAGACTGTGGTTGGCCACGCGGGACCTGGCGTCATCTGCACAGCACCTAGCCAGGTGCTGCTGGGCTGACCTCACTGCAAGTTTGCTAGGAGCCATGACGTTTCCAGGAGTGACGCTGCTGCTCCGGGTGCCACTAACTGCACCTGTTTCCAGTCCTCTGAGCCCTGGCTAGCGCTCGGGGCCTCCCAGGAGGCTCGAAGACCTTGTCGCTTCGGTGACACAGCAGCTCTTTTGTTGGCCGTGCTGCCCCTTGAGCTGCTTCAGCCTTGCATGCGCCTGGCCCCTCTTCCTCGGGAGACTGGGGAGCAGCCCTTCCCTGACTCCGGCCCCTGTGGGCCTGAGCGGTTAGGGTCAGGGTTAGAAGCCTAGGACTTCGCACTGGCTTCCTAGAGACAGTCAGTCAGTGAGCGCAGGTAGGACAGACGGAGCAGCCCTCAGAGCTTCCCGGCACGGTCTGTGCGTGGTGGTCAGCCCCGCGGGCATGCTGGGGCCCACAGCAGACGGTGTCTTCAGGGGTGAGTGAGTGCTCTGCTGGGCTGCCCCAGGGGAGGTCGCCCTGTGCTGGCGGACGGGGAAGGGCAAGGTCCCATCTCCGTGATGATGTGTTCCATGTACTGCCGAAGCTGAGCTCTGAGTGTTCCGTGTTCCAGATTAAACCGGATCGCCAATCAGGTGGCCGTGCAGCGGAAGAAGCAGTTCGTGGAGCGAGCGCACAGCTACTGGCTCCTGAAGCGGCTGTCACGGAATGGCGCGCCCCTGCTGCGGCGGCTCCAGTCCAGCCTGCAGTCCCAGAGAAGCTCGCAGCAGGTATGTGGCGCGGCCTCCCGCACGCCCAGGCCGCACCTCCGCCAGAGGCGCCGGCTCAGGCCCCAACTCCTCCCGACCCCAGGCTGTCTGCCCCGCTATCTGTGCAGGCATTGCGTGCTCCGTGCCCCTCATGCTGCTCAGGTGTGAGCTCCTCCTTTCCTGTCCTTGCACGTGCCCCAGCGTGACTGCCAGGGCTGCAGGGCTGCTGGGTGGGGCAGCAGGAGAGAGACCCAGTGAGAGCCTGCACCTGTGGGCGGGGTCTGTGTGCTGCCTGGAGTCCGGGCACTGGGGACATGGTGCGAGGCACGTTACTTTTTTACTATAACTCCTTCTTTTAAATCAAAGGGGGTGTGTCTCACTGGAGGGTTAGATGGTGAGATGGCACCCGTGGGGAGTGGCCACACTTCATTCTCTTCTCCATCTCTCCCTGTCAGGGTTTGGGCACACGTGCACTTCAGTTGCTGTGTTTTCCAGATGCTGGGTCTGGGGCTGAAAGTCATGTGGTTGGTGTTGTGGGATCTCGCTGCCCCAACCACCATGCCACAGTCTGACCCAAGGCTTTGTTTTTTTTTAAGACTTTTGCCATAGGGCACACGTACTTGCTGAAAAGAGACCAGAGTCAGAGAGAGAGTGAGTGTGTGAGAGAGAATCCCCCTGCACCCATGCTGGGAAAACGGCCATGCTATAGTCCCTTATTCTCCATTCTCTCAGGACTTTGGGCATGCATATACATGTGCTCAACGTGATTTTTTTCTTTCTTTCTTAAATAATTTAATATAATTTTATTTATCATCATTATTTTAAAAATTTGCTAGGACATATCCACTCACTGGGGAGAGAGGGAGGGAGAAAAAGTGAGAAAGCAAGCTGTCAGGTCTGGGACTCTAATTATGGTCAGCCATGTTGTGAGTCCAGCACCTTAACCAACACGCCAATGTGATGTTCAAGCTGCTAGTTTTGGAAATTTAAGTTATCCTACATACAGTCAGCCATGTGGGATCCAGTACCTTTACCACTGCCACCTGCAGTCCACAAGGCATGACTGACTTTTTTCCTTCCACTTTCTTAGATATTTGCCATATGGTGTGTGTGCCTGCTGGAGACAGAGACAGTGAGAGGGAAGTGAGAAGGCACCTCTTTGGGGATGGCCAACTGCAGACTGTTAGTACCTTCATCATCTCAAACCCCAAGGGCCATGCTGTCAGGTGCCGGGCTCTGATAAGCTGTCCCTGTGGTCACTGTGGGACCGCCCGGAGCCTCTGAGTGCCTGGCAGGCTGTGGGTGTGGGTGTGGGTGAGAGCTCCAAGGTCCAGTCTGGCTTACCCGCAGGCCTGGCGGTAGCCATCGCCACCACGGGCACATGGTGCAGTGCTCCGGCCCCACGTGCCCACCGCTGGGTCACTCCCCTCTGCGTCCTGCCTCCTGGATGCGCCCAGCTTCATCAGTCCCCTTACTGAGTGGGCACATGTCACCAGGCTTCGTCCTACAAGAGCCTGGCTCCGGGCAGAAGCTGGAACAGAACAGCCCACCTCGCTTGAACGAGCAGCTTGGCTCTCGGTCGCACAGCGCCCTGGGGAGGCCTGGCCCACGGGAACGCCCACTCAGCTGCAAGGCCTCCGTGCCAGGGGAGAAGCCTGGGCAAGGGGCTGGTGACCTGGGGTAGGGAGTGGCAGAGCTTGTGGGAAGGAGGACACGGGTGGCCCAAGGCTTTGTCCTTGCTGCGGTGACCACGGAGAGATGGCCTGACCACAGGAGGTTGGAAGGGGCACCCCACGTGGGTCACAGCTGGAGCACAGAAACAAGACACCAAGCCCTTGGCAGTGGGGGAGGGCCCTGAAAGATGTCTGGGAAGGAGCGGGGACCACAGAGGCTCCCCCTGGCCCTTGGACGCAGCCTTGTTGGTGGCAGGGTGGCAGCAGGGCCTGGGGAAGGGGTGGAGGAGGTTGCCCCGAGCTTACCCTGCTCAGGCCTCGGGCTGCTGCTTGAGCCTGCCGCACCTGCTGCTTCTGTGCTGCACTGAAAGGTCTGGGCAGGAGGCGAGGGGCTCCCTGGACCATGGTCTCGCGAGGGCTGGTGTTCTAGGGGTTTCTAGAACCGTATACCTGTGTCATACACGGGATGTGCAGTCTTTTCTTTATTGAAACTTGTTTTGTGAGTTTATTTTTTCTGTGAAAGAGGGACAGGGAGGGCGTCACCAGGAAGGCCATTTCACCCCTAGCCAGCCAGGCTCAGGCAGGCATGTGTGGACACCTGGAGACCTCGGGACCTCCCCTGCAGACCGTCTCTGCTGTGCTGCCGTGGCTGGCTGCGCACAGGACTTCACAGGACTTTTCTGGAGACCTTGGGAATACCTGATGTCACCAGTCTGGCTCACCCGTGGTCCTGGGCACCCCTCAGCTGGGTCCTGCTGAGGACCGGGAGGCCGAGGTGTGCCCTTCCCACTGGTGGGCTGTGGCAGCTGCACAGGAGGTCCTGCAAGCCTCGGCAGGTGGAAGGGCAGTGCCTCCTGGGGCTGTGCACTGGTGTAGGGGTGCGGGGGGAGGCCTCAGAGGGCTCTGGGTGGTGCGGCGTGTGGGGGGGCACGGTTTTGCTCGAGGGGCACATGCAAGTGGCCTTACAGGCTGGGGACGACCGCTCCTCAGCCTGCCCTGCCCCTGCGCGCTCACTGTCCTCTGAGCTCGTCCTGCGCTGTCAGGTGTGTCCGGTGTCAGCAGCAGCAGGGGCCTGCGACGGGAGCCTCCTCCTGCAGAGCTGGCTGTTCCGGCTGCAGGGCTTTCACTGACTGCCTGGCTCTGCCCGTGCCGGGGCTCTGGCTGTGCCCTCGCGGCCTGTGGGTTTCTCCTCAGGCATTGGCGCCAACACGCGGAGCCAGGCCTTCCTCCCGACGGTTTCCCCTTCTTGGAAGTTACTTCCCCTCTGTTCTGCCTGGAGGCCTCCGGAATGGGCCCCTGTAGCAGAGAGGCCGTTCAGGGAGGGAGGGTGCTCGGATGCGCTGTGCGCCTTCCTCAGTGAGCCGCGGCGTGTGTGGGGCCGCCGCGCTGCCGCCCTCGCTGCTGCTGGGTGGGTGGTCGTACAGGACGTGCTCAGTGAACTACCGGTGGGGTCTTCGGTCACCTCACTGGCCGTCAGGAGAGCTTTTCTGCTTCGCATGGTGACCAAGTCACACATCCCACTGGCTGGCATTTTCACAGGTGTCTGCTTCAGGCCAAGGACAGGATGCTTTTCAGATGCCCTTGGGAATTTGGTTTGCTAGGTTGGCTCCTCCCAGGGTTTGCTGCTCGTCCCACATGGATGGTGTGCAGTGCCCATGCACTGCCAGGGCTGCGGCTGCCTCAGGTCCCTATTGCCCTACCCCTGCCTCTTAGAAGTGAGCTGGAGTCTCACAGCCAGCCCCTTGGAAGGGGGGGTTAGAGAGGGAGAGGGTGTCGAGAGTCCGAGGAGTGTGGGACATGCCTTGGAAATGAAGAGGTAGTCGCCAACTGAGGCTGGCAGGTCGTGTGTGAGGATGACTGTCTAGGTGGGGGTCACCATCTGAATCCCAGATGTCCTGCTGCTGTGTCTCAGTAACCTGTTCCAACCCATGCTCCCTGCAGGCAGGGTGAGGTGGATCACAGGCTGTGTTTGGGCCTTGGATCTCAGGGCTTCAGAGGCCCTGGCATAGCTGGCTTTTGGGGCGTTGGGGAGCCCGAGGCCTGAGCAGGGTTGTGTGAGTGCTCGCCAGCACCTGGTCCGTGGGTGTGGGCTCCGGCACAGGCTCTGCAGGCTGGCAGGGTGCTGGCACCATGGGCTGCCCAGCAGGGCTGTAGAAATGCGTGTCTCCATGTGACCAGCTCTCTGTGCTCCTTGGTCTGAGGGTGTCATCTGCAGGATTTCCGGGGTACCTCATTTTGTTCAAGGAGCCAGAGCTACCTGAGGAGCCTGCACCTCCTGCTTCTGACCTCATAGTCCAGTGCTTTTACCTCTATGGCCCTGAGAGAGCAGTGGGTGCAGCCTGGCAGGGTAAATGACGCCCTGTGCACCTTCTGTCCCTCTGGAGGTGCCGCCCTGGGAGCAGGTGTCCTGAGCCGCACAACACCTCTGAGGGCAGGATATTTGGTGTCTTTGGGAGCCGAGAACCTTAGCGTCTTATGAGCCTGAGTGGGCCCAGCCCTGATGTCTTGAGCCTGAGTGGACCCAGCCCTAAGGTCTGTTTGTGGCTGCTCCCTGGGGGCCTCTTCTCTCTCTCTCTCTCTCTTTTTTTTTTTTTAGAGATTTTTTGCTATAGGGTGCATGCACTCGCCAGGAAGACAGAGACAGAGAGACAGAAAGCAAGAAATCACCGCCAGGGGGGATGGCCATGCTGCAATCCCTTCTCCTCCGTTCTCCTCTCGGGATCTTGGGCATGCACGTAACATGCGCCCGGCGTCAGTTTAAGCTGCCGGGTCCGGGACTTGAACCGCAGTTGACTACGTGGGAGTCCAGCGACATAGTCATTACACCAACTGCTGGTCCCCGGGGCCCTCTTTCTCAGTTCTCTAGGAGGGCCATGCACCAGGGCCCCCAGCTCTTGTGGTTACTGCCGGCTCCTGCAGGCCCTGGCCCTGGCCCCCCTGCCCGCGCATCCATTCTGGATTCTGCGATGGCCTAGTCTCTGCTCAGGTGGAGACCTCGTGCTCTGCAGAGCAGAATCCTGACCTGGTTGGGGTCATGGCTCCATCCAGCTCTGGCTTTGCGACAGCCTAAGCAGGCGCAGCCTTGGACCCTCCTGCACAGGGGTCTGAGGCCCTTTGCGGGGAGAGCCCTGCGAGTGACTGAGGGATGCTCTCTGATCCCCAGAGAGAGAACGACGAAGAGGTGAAGGCTGCCAAGGAGAAGCTGCAGTACTGGCAGCGGCTGCGGCATGACCTGGAGCGTGCCCGCCTGCTCATCGAGCTGCTGCGCAAGCGCGAGAAGCTCAAGCGTGAGCAGGTGAGGCCCCGCCCCACCCTGCCCCTCACTGCCCCCTTGCCTCCCTGCTCAGTGGTGGCTTGTCTGGGCCACGCCAGTTGGCTGTCCACCCTGGTAGTGGGGGACCTCTTTGGGAGGTGGCATTGACTTCTGCTGTGAAGGGAGCAGAAGCACAGATCCTGTGGGCTGCCGCAGCAGAGTCGTGGGCGGAGCAGGGGCCTTCCCTAGGGCGGTGCATGTGCAGTGCGTTGACAGTGGCCCCCCCATGTGGCTTTGGGCAGACGTGTCACGCAGAGGCTCCCAGGGGTGGGTGCGAGCGACATTTCTGAGCTGAGCCCCGGCTGTGGCGTGTCAGGTGAAGGTGGAGCAGATGGCCATGGAGCTGCGGCTGACCCCACTGGCTGTGCTGCTGCGCTCCGTCCTCGACCAGCTGCAGGAGAAGGACCCAGCCAGGATATTTGCGCAGCCTGTGAGTCTGAAAGAGGTGGGTGTCCTCGGCCACCTGCTGTCTGCCCGCTTGTGACTGTGGAGATCGCTTTGCTGGTCGGTGATGTGGACCTTGGGGAGTGCACTGTGTGTGCTTGCTTTTGTTCTTAAACTTGGGGTTTTACTTGAACTCATTTTTGCCTTTTTTAGTTTGCTGTAGGAAACATGCACGCGCTTGCAGGAGACAAAGTGAGAAAGCACTCCCCAGGGATGGCCATGCCGCAGTCCCCTCTATACTCCTCGTGGGAGTCTGGGGCTGCCCTCCCACTCATGCCCCTGTGTGCTTTTCAAGCTGCCCTGGGATCCAGCCACTTAACCACCATGCTTCTTGGCTGGCCCAATGAACTCATCTTTACTTTTTGTAAAGAATTATTTTACTTAATTTGTTACTATTTATTCTTTAAACATGCAGTCAGAAAGTGACAGAGCAATGGCGGGGGTGGGAAGTGAGAAAGTAAGCCACAAGATCCGGGGCTCGAACTGTGGTTGGCCACGTGGAAGTCCAGTGCCTTTAACCACCACACCACCTGCTGGCCCCATGAGCTCATTTTTAATCATGATGGTGGTATATTTCATGGTATGTTTCACAGTGTGATGGAATACAGTGTGAGGGTGGGAGGCTCCCTCAGCACTCTCAGACCTTGGCACCTGTCTGGGCAGCACACGTCATAATGTGCTTTTGGTTAAAAGAGCTTGGAGGACAGCCCGTGGCATGGGGGTCGAGGTGACCAGAGGCGTGGTTTGAGTCCCGGACCCAGCAGCTTGAAAAACAGGCTCGGCCTGTGTGTGCATGCCCAAAATCCTAAGAAGAGGATGGAGGAGGGACTGTGAAGAGGCCATTCCCTGGGGGGTGCTCTCTCACTTTCCCTTCCTCTCTCTGGTGGGTGTGCCTGCCCTCTGGCAAACTAAAAAAAAAAAAAAAAACTTGTGTGAAGAGGGTCCCTGGGAGGATGCAGGTTTACTGTCGTGTTTGGGGGTATGTGTGTGTGCACGTGTGTGTATGTGTATGCCTTGACTCTCAAAAGAAGGTGATTTTATTGCTTATGTAGAGTAATAAATTCATAAGCAGTCAAGAATCGCTTTCGCAGTTTGTAAATAATGGTTTCCCTTCCCCAAATTAGGTGCCGGATTACTTGGATCACATTAAACACCCCATGGACTTTGCCACAATGAGGAAGCGGTTGGAAGCTCAAGGGTATAAAAACCTCCATGAGTTTGAGGAGGACTTCGACCTCATCGTGGATAACTGCATGAGGTACAACGCCAAGGACACCGTGTTCTACAGGGCCGCCGTGCGGCTGCGTGATCAGGGCGGCGTCGTTCTCAGGCAGGCCCGACGCCAGGTGGACAGCATCGGCCTGGAGGAGGCCTCGGGGATGCACCTACCCGAGCGGCCCGCTGCCGCCCCACGGCGGCCTTTCTCTTGGGAAGACGGTAAGAACCGCACCGTGTTTGTGTGGAGCAGACCACGTCTAGGGGTCTTCTGCTGTGACATCAATGTGGCTGGGCTCTGTTCTGGAGCGTCCTGGGACTCTGGGCTGTTGTGCCCTCAA